ACAAGATTAGAGGTTTGCAAGAGAACAAACTTTAGTGAAAATCATGAATTCGCCACTAACTAAAAGGTATTGAGTAACTTTGTCCAACAAGATTTAGATAGATGAGACTTGAGGAAATAAAAAAAAAGTATGTCTAAAGCCTAGTGAACTTCTAGGAAAGGTGAATTAGTCCAAGCTACTCTTGGCTCCTAATTTCTTTTAGAAACATAGGTATCGGACTATTACTAGTGATTCTGGTAGAGTAGTAGAGGTGAATACAAATAACTCTTCTCCAAGAAAAATTGTGTTATCCCCCAATTTTTATAGAGCAAAAGATCTGCCTTTAGTACATCTGATCGTTAATTCCTCGTGGTTTCTAGGACCGACCAACATCTCACTTGAGTTGGTTATTTGTTTTTTCTAGTTGGTTACCTTGTTTTATACAAATTCACCTACTTCAATATGGAGTGATACATGATCAATAATACGTAGTGATTTCATAACTAATTGCATGATGGGGACATCGTTAACCTTTGTGTTTCAAATTACAATAGTGTCAGCACCGTCCAAGGTATAAAGCTAATCTTTTTTCAACTAGTAATGGCATACCATTGAAATACGGTTTTGTAATTGTCTAGTTCAGTGAAAACATATCTTCCTTCTCTCCAAAAAGCCAATCTTGTCGATAAACATCCTTCATAACAGAGAATCAACACGGAATTTTTGTAAGTTGTAATCCTTCTCCAATTTTATAGGATACAAAATATTAATCAGAATTCATATAATTTGACTCTTGTGAAATGCGAAAAAACGAAGAAAGTGTTCTATATACCAACACACATGTCTTCCAGCACGAAAAAGTTTTCTTCCTTTTCCAATAATAGTGTCAACATTTTAGACCTTAAATTAAACTACTCAATTTTTTTATATTAGTAAACAATGTTTCTTACAACATAATCCAAAATTATGTATTACAAATACATGTCTAACATTTTATTTATATGAATTAAATTCCTTTCCTTTTTGTTTTAAAAAAGGAGACTTTGTGTCTTCTACATATGCTACATTGCTAATTACTCTCAAAGCATTCATCACTTCTTTTTATTATGCAAAAATGCTTTGATACATAGCCTCAAGATTGGTGTAATCTTAAGTACATCAGCATCATACTTGTGTATTTTATTTCTATATAATAATATTAAAAGGTGCCAGTGGCCAGTGACTGCCACTGATGGGGATGCATTATGATTGTCACAACACCATTTGTTAAATGTCTATTTTATTGTATGTAGAAGACTGTTCTGACAGCAATTGATAATGTCAAGAGGTAAATCAAGATTTCCAGATGGATCAGAGAGCGCAACTCATCGAGAGGCAACGACACTAAACAAAAATGCTAGATAAGATAAAAAACCTTATTGATGTAGCAGTGGGTTTGAAGGTTGAGGATGAACATGATTTAGTCCAAGCACTCAAAGACAATTTGGTTAGAATTACAATCAGCTACTGACCTACTGCAGCAACTGGTTCAGACGGCAGCTAAGTTGCACGTGAATCATGCTACTCCCGATGGCACTTATTGAGGACGTAAATCGGCACTTATTGAGGACGTAAATCAATATGCAAAGGTGAACCAGCAACCATGGTTGCCGATCATAACTACATTGTAGAGAGAACCGAAATTGAAGAAGGTGTTTAAGATGTCAGTTCTTTTTCAATATAAATAACCTCTGATTAGAGCTTTTGACAGTTTTAGCATATTTGAGCATTAGTAATTTGCGTATTCTCATATTTGACGTTGATATTTGCGTATTCTCAGATTGGGCATTTATTTTTTTCCAAATGTCTATATGGTTATATCTGGCGTACGTAGTCATACAATAACTTCTGATACATTGCTTGATCTGCTTGTTTACATGCTCATATTCCGCGAGCCAAAGATCACTACAGAGTGATGTGTGATCCAATTGCACGATGGGGACATTTGTGTCTCAAATCACAATAGTGCGAGCAAAGTCTAAAGCATAATAATACACGTGCCACCATCTCAACAATTAAGTCATTTTTATTGTCATCAGGGAGAGTGAAAGTGAATGTAATATACACGTGCCACCACGGTGCTTATAATAATAACAATAGGGACTACTTTGGAAGCATGTATTGCACAAGCAATTGCAAGGTGGGTAATTCCGGTGAATTTCTTATTAGGGCCAATCGGAACATACACTCCTAAAAGCAACAAAATCTTCAATCAATTTTAATTACAACTAAAAGCTCCAATGGACCTTCTGACCAATTTCCCATCATATCATAAATAAATTGAATTTTTTGTTCCTAAAAGCTCCTTTCGGTATTGTTAATATGCATATCTTTTTTCCTGTTTCTTTTTTGGAATTTGCTGCATACTGTGTGGAATTTTAATCCAAGACATCTACTCAACAAGTTATACCACTTTATTAATATGTAATAATGTGTTTAAGTCTTTTAAATTATATACATTGTTTCTCTAAAAATAGTTATGTATTGTATATTTATAATTCAAATGGGTGAGTATCAATATTTTTTCAAATATATACGCTTTTCGATAAAATATGCCTACTCGGGATGAACTTATCAATAATAGGCAATGGAGGTTGAAAGTTGGAATTGTACAAAAGATAAAACTTAACAGATCACAAATATTCACACATCTTATTCTTCACTGACACTCTCCAAGATAAGAAGGTAACAAACTATTTTTTAGTTATTCTTTCATCTATTGTTCTTAGATTTCTCCGTTGTATTTTGATAGATTTTCGATCTAACATTTATTTATTTTGTAAAATTTATTTAGTCTACGCTACTCTTTGTTATGTGTATTATTTTATGGAGTTTCAACAAATACAACACAAGGATCATAAGTTTATTTCACAAAATTTAACACAATTATTCCACGGAAAAAATTATACTCATTATTTTAGCTATATTCTTAATCCTTAATATAGTTTAAGAACATATAAGATTTTAGAGTTCTATCATTTCATATATCCGTACATATTATTTTTCATCAAAATATTACTCAAATCGTAAATAAATAGCTTTTGTTATTTGAAAAAATAATCGATTTAAAAATTGTATATTTTTGTCATTGAATTTTTAAAATTTAAAAGTAACTTCTCATATTTGAAGTAACCCACACCTTTGCTCACGTTCTACACAACTATTTATTTTCCTACCCATTTGCCCATGGAGTATATACAGAGATACAGATCAAACTAAATAAAAAGATATTAAAAACGAAAAAAATATGTCTGTTTTTTCAATATCTATCTATTTATAACTATTTTTTATAAACATGTGAACGAAAGTAAAAAAAATAAAAAAATAAAGAATCGTACACAATTGAAAAAAAAATTCAAAAATACATATGTAAAATATTTAAATTTGTATTACTTTTATAGTATTAAACATTTCATGTGAAAAGTTGAAATTTGATTATTATTATTTATGTAAAAGAAATAAATAGCTTTAATAAAAAGATGAGACTTATAGTAAATTAAAGGAATAGAAGATGATCGGTTCTTTTCATATTTCGGATTCTTAATTAATGATATTGTATTTGATTATATAAAAATTATCCTATTTTACATGATTGAACTAGAAAGGAGTGTGCTAAAGAGGTTACAATATATTTTGCAATAATTTGAATTATAGCTAAAACTAGAGTTATCATTTTCTTTAGTAGGTTAAATTATTTTCTTTTTAATTTAAAATGGCGTTCACAACTTTGTCTTCATTATGTATTGAAAAACCTTTTTCTCTATGTTTCTCTATGATAATTTAGTTATTCCAAAAATTTACAAAGTCATAATAATTTTTTAATATCACGAAAATATTTTAATGATAATCATTTAATTTTTTGTATTTTAAGAAAATTATAATTATAATTTTATGATTATTTATCAGTTTAATTAACTTTTGAAAAGAATTTGTATATATGGTATAGAAAGAGGATGACGGAGTATTATATATATATATATATATATATATAACTTCTTTATCCTATTAATTTAAAAATAATATACAGTATTAATTATTTTTATAGAATTAGTTTAAAAATTTTAAAATCCTAATATTATCTGTCATTGTTAAGTTATATGTATTACTAAAGAATAAAATCTACATGATATTTATAAAAAAGGTTAAACAAAAAAAAATAAAAATCCATAAAATAAAAAAAATAGGCTCATAATAAATCAAAGGAATAGAAGATGACCCGTTCTTTTCTTTTTAATTTATAAAATTATATTTGAGAAGTGAGAATGTTAAAATAATATTTGGTGTCTTTGAGAAACACATCTTTACTTTATTAGGATAAATTTTTGTAAGTATCAAGTGTTCATTATTTGAAATCAAAACATAGTATATGAGATGAACCTCATATTTTTTGCAAACTACTTTCTCGGAGAATCTCGAAAGGATTATGATATAAAGAGAATTTTGAATACAAGATAATAGAGAAAAGAAAATTTTCTTATATATGTAGTAATAAACTATAATTCAGAGCTGTTAAACATGAGATATTTTTTATTTAAATCATATCATTATATATATTATTATCTATTATTATCAGTATTACTTTAATGCAGACCCTTACAATTTACACATTAATCCAATACTGTGTGTTTTTTCATTTTTAAATAATTAGAAGAATCGAAAGAGTTGCATTAATCAATTATATATACACTAATAATTAATTAGAAGTAAAAAAATACATGAAGTAAACATTTTAACTTGGTCAAATTCTTCAAAACATCAATCATACATTGTGTTGATTTACTTCATCAATTTTGCTCACTTAATCAAATGTCTTGGCTAATTTAATTCAAATTGTTCAAGTTAGTTTCTTTTCTCAAATGATACTCTACTTATTTCGAGATATATAGATTATCTTCTTCACCTCTCTTCTTTTCTCTTCCATCTCTTTTCGTATTTGAGTATATTTCTAACAAAAATACATATATTTAAGCGTATCAGACTCCATAAAAATGCACGTCTCCTTCCTTTCCCGCCACCTCTCTTTTATTTCCTTCCCTTTCTTCCTTTGCACATTTTTTTCCAAATTGAATGTTGTGTTTGAGTTCATATCGTTTCACTCAAACCACTCTTCTTTACAATTTCTCCCTTAAACCTTCTTCTTCAATCTTTCTTCACTTCTCCAAGAAGAAGCAATTCCCTCTCAAACCCCTTTTCTTCTCTGTAAACCCTAATTCAAGAACCATGTCTGATTCTCCTCCTACTCCTCCTCCTCCTCGCTCTGCGTTTGCTGTCCTTATGGCAAATTCCAAGAAGAAAACAACCTCCTCACCCAAGAAACGTAAAACCCCAGATGTTGAAACTTCAAGTAAAAGCCCTGTTGTTAATCAAGATTCAGTTTTGATGCCAATTAAGGACACCCATTTGGTCAATGAGTCGAAAAGTGAGGAGGTGGTGGTGAAGAAACGGAATCAAGATTCAATTTTGAAGCCAATTGAGGACACCCATTTGGTTAATGAGTCGAAAAGTGAGGAGTGTGTGGTGAAGAAACGGAAAATGATTAGTCCAGATGAGAGCATTGTGGAAATAAAGAAAAAAGCTGCAAATTTTGATCCAAAAAAGGCTGTATATTGGGGGGATGGGCAGAGAGTGCCGTTCATGTTTGTAGTTAAGGCGTTTGATGCAATTTCGAAGGAGTCAGGGAGGATTGTTATTACTGAGATTGTGACTAATATGTTGAGGACTGTGATTGAGACGACGCCTGAGGATTTGTTGCCTGTTGTGTACCTTGCTGCTAACAAGATTGCAGCTGCACACGATGGGATGGAGCTTGGTATTGGTGATGCTTCCATTATCAAGGCACTTGCTGAAGCCTGTGGTGCTAAAGAAGCACATATCAAGAAGCAATACAAGGTAATACATTTGTTAATTGGGAATAATTACGTTGAAACATGACCAATTGCTGAATTGATAATGCTGTCTAGTGTAAGTTGTTTTGACTAATTCCTTATGGGTTCTAATGTGAAACACAAGCATGGCCTGAATATTTTGTCTGATTGAAAGACAGTGCATTGTGTGAAAGAGGCTCCCAAGAGGAGATTAAAAGTGAAACTTAACCTTTTCTTAATTGAGTGTAATTGCCTAAGCCATGTCTTTAGAAAATGCCTAGTGTCATATATGTCTAGCTATATGACATATGACAACTTTAGTGCAGTTCACAGAACTATGTCAGATTCTGTTAATGACTACAGAACACTTTATGTCACTGTTTCTGTTTTTATTTTTCCTCTTTTCTCTCTTTGTTGTCTTCGAATTTGTAGAAAACTAGTAGTTGGTGGTCTGCTAGACACAAGTGAAATTCAGCTTTCATGTTGTTTGGAGATTGAAGAAATTGAGAGACTTTTTTGGAGAGGGTGGGGGTGGGGATGGGGATGGGGATGGAGGCCACGAGGAGTTAGTGGGGATCAAATGCTGCATGGCTTTGGCATGTACTTGATTTAGGAGCCTAACATTGGACCATCACATTTAGAGCAGCATCTTGATAATCATGTGTTTGATCACATGCATAGTTGGCATGATTAATTATATACATAAGGGACTGACCAGAAATTTGTATGGTTATCCTGTAATATCTGCCATCCAGGAGATTCAACTTTTCTCCTGTTCAGTTTTGACTAGTCCAAATGTCTGATTTTCATTGTTAAACACACAGGAGCTTGGAGATTTGGGCCTTGTTGCAAAAGCAAGTCGTTCATCACAGCCTCTGATGCATAAACCAGAAGCACTGACTGTTGCCAAAGTTTTTGACACATTTCGAATCATTGCCAAGGTATTCCAGTTTCATTGTTCACTTTCTTTTAGATACTTCTTGAAGTGGGATTAAGATGTTAAGTGACATAGCTACCATACCACATATTTGAAGTTCCTATAGAAGCCTTCAATCAAAGTCAGTTCTGCGCATTGCGCACAGAACTGATTTTTGTCATGGAAGCTACAAAAAATGTTCTCCTATTTGTGGTGCAGATGATCCTCTTTTTAGTTGCTTATTTTTGTTTTATCCGATATAGTTTTCGATCTTGCAGTATGATTTCTAGTATTTGTACTATGATTATGTTGTCTTTTCTTATGTGGGAATTTCTTTTAGGAATCTGGAAAGGATAGTCAGGAAAAGAAAAAGAATTACATTAAATCACTGCTTGTTGCAGCCACTGATTGTGAACCCCAATATTTGATTCGTCTTCTCCAGGTTAGAGGAATTTTTTTTTCTTTTTCTTATGGAACTATTTAGCTGTTGCATTGCTCATTGAACCGTTGTTCAGTTGGTTTCTCTTTCTTGCAGACAAAGCTACGCATTGGTTTGGCTGAACAAACACTGTTAGTCGCAATCGCTCATGCTTTTGTGTACTCAGATAAGCATTCATCACCTCCTGCAGGTGTAGATTCTCCTTTGGAAGAGGTGCATTGTTCTCTAGTTGGAGGAGTTTTCTATTAGATTTTCCTTTCTGTGAACTTGCATGAACTGTGATATTACTATCAATTTAGGGATAAAAGTATCTTGTTTCCTTCTTAAATCTTTAACCCCAAAATTTGCGTTTGCATTTGCATTTGTTTGGTGTTAAAGAAAACACTTCTCTTTGTTTGGTGTTATCACCTCGACTTTCCCTTTGTTGTGTATTTTCATCCTCTGCAATGATTGGAACATTACTTACTGGTTAATATCAAAAGTTGAAAGGTGCCATTGCCCAGTGACTGCCACTAATGGCATGCATTCTGATTGCCTCAAGACAGTTTGTTGTCTCAGAGATCTGAATAGCCTAATTGCTTGTATGTAGAGGACTGTTCTGGTAGCCCCATGATTTCACTCTTTTGGTGGAATATAAGTGATTCGACAAAGGCACCATTAGAACAAAGTGCTTTGACAAGTTCTTAAGGCTGCATAAAAGTGTGGTGTATGATGAGAAGGGTAGAGGAGTGAGTCCATTTTCAGTGAATTTTGAACCGTGCGCCATCTAGCCCTCATAATTCTAATACTCCCTCCGTTTCACAAAGAATGACCTCCTTTCCTTTTTAGTCAGTTTCAAAAAAATGACCTCTTTCCTTTTTTGGTAACATTTTACTTTTTGCTTTCCACGTGGCATGTTTAAGACCACAAGATTAAGGGCAATTTTGTACATTTGACATAACTTTAATTTAGGACCACAAGATTCAAAAGTCTTCTTTATTTACTTAAACTCCGTGCCAAGTCAAACCAGGTCATTCTTTGTGAAACGGAGGGAGTATATTTT